GCGTCTGATCACTCAGTTCTTCCACCTCGTCACGAGGGTGGGCCTGTCGGATCTCGGGATACGAGACCGTCCAGAGCAGTGTGTTAAGAGACATGTAGAGGTTGAGGAGGAACACCCAAGTGATATCGACTGCTGCCTTTTCCATCTGCTGCTTCGACAGATTGATAATGTATGACGCGCCTTCAAAGCAGATGCCCGCAGCTCGTGGAGAGGGTTTGGGTACTTGCGGGGAAGGCCGGTAGAGGAAGATGCGCATCTGGTGATAACGTCCGGTGAACCTGCAAACGGACAGTTAGAAAAGTATTATGATGAAGGACGGCAGTACACACCATGGCCTACACCAAGCCGGATTTTGAGGTGAAGAGTCAATCCAGTTTTGAATATCTCTCTCCATCTTGGCGAACCAGGGGTGGCTCTCATCCCTGGGCTCTTCGCGCTTCTTTTCGTAGAGCACTCTCCTGATCTCGGCCTGCTCCATGCGCATCTTGAAGAAATGCAGAGCCACCAGCTTGTTCTCACTTGGAGGCCCCTGGCCAATGCCGTCAGCCGTAATGTACTTGTCGTCGACAGTCGCGAAAGGCTCCACGTCCATCCGGTCGTCAGCCTTGGAGAATCCATTGGGTCGGCCCATGCTATGTGCCAGCCCAGCTTCCATGGAAGTGATGATGTAGGCAAGACGACGGCGCATATCCAGTGTCAGGGGGTCCAGGAGATTCCCGGCGCTTATCGTCTTTTCATCAGTCAGGCCTTCTGCCTGACAAACGCGCGTGGCCATGCCAACCATGTAGTATACAGCGGTCCTTGTGGGGGTCAGAAGGGAGTATTGGCCGATGAGTGCCAAACTCTGTAGAGACTTGAGATCCTTTGGCCGAGACACTTGCTCAAAGTGTTCCATCGCGGCCAAATAGTAACTGTCGGCCAGACCGGCATACTGGGGATCCATCTTCTGTAGCGAGATTGCAAACACCATGCGGACGATGAGGTTCTTGTAGGGGTCTTGGTCTCCAGCATACACTGCCTCAAGATCGTCCAAGAATAGCTTCTCGTGCAACGTCGGCCAAAATACTTGGGCTGTTCACCAAAGTCAGTCGAGGGTCAAGCCGAGGAAGGAGAGAGGGCACTTGCATCGTTGGCAAAAGACATCTACGAGCTTATTGGCGATAGGTCTCGTCGGCAGGCTCTGGGCAGGGTGGGCGCTGATCATGGGATAGCTCTTCTTTCGGTCTCTGGTCATCACGATGGACTGCATGCGCGTCATCCTCCGCGCCCGAACTTCGGGAATCAGCTCTGAAATTCGCTTTGAGTCGGTAAAGAGCTTTGCGCCCTGGACCAGCAAGCGTGTCATTGCGATGCCGCTACTTGGGCCAAGGTAGCGCGGAGTCTCGTCGGTATCGTTCAGGCGAACCAGGCCACCTGGTCGCACTATGTCCTCGTCGAGGTGGGAGAACTCGCTGTCGTCGTCGGTGTACTGGCGTAGCTCGGCCTCGAGGGCGCGCACCTTTTCTTGCAGTTTGATAACATAATTACGGTTGATCTTCTTCCCTTTGGTAGTGTCGTAGTATTCGCAGACCGAGCCGGCGCGTTCGCACGGCAGACAACGGGGTAGAGTAGGATCGCATCTTGTTTTACGCTACAGAGTTGAGCAAGTCAGCCAGAGTCTACGAAGCGCCATACATCACTGTTCACTTGTCGGGACTCTAGAACCCAGGAGGCGCCGGGTTTGCGGGAAAAGGCTCCGACATACCTGGCGGCAGCGGCAGCAAGCCGTCAGAGTGTGGGCAATGCGATTGGAGGGGCCGTCACTCTCTGGATCTTCGCGGCTGGTAGGGGGAGCGCGAGATGGGCCAGGGTAGAGTTGCGGAGGAGCGTTGGGAGGCGGGTGATGATGGTACGGCGGGTTTCGTGGCATCATGTTGCCCAAGCCATGACGGTAGATGTCCATAGGCCGGGATGTAGAGACTGAGGCTATTCGCCCAGTCGATATTTGTGTCTGAGCGAGGGGACCAAAGGCGCCTTATTTAGTGGACGGTGATTTGCCTTTGCCTCGCTGAGAAAGCTTGTAGAGAGCCGGCGAGGGCGGGTAGTAGTCGTCTTTGAGGGTTGTTCACGATGTAGGTAGTGGGTATCGTTTACGGGGCGGAGGCGGACGTGGGCGAAGGGATCGGTGGAGCGCAAGGGCGGACAGAATGTCTCATGGTTCGGCTGAAGAGGGATTCGAAGGAAAGTCGAGGGTATCGTGAAGAGAGAGAGGGTCCTCTTGTCTCGCCGGTCGCGCGTGTGTAGTGGACTCGGACGTGGTGTATGTATGGACGTCGGGCTGGGTACGGGCGGATGGTTGCAAGAGGAGACGGAGACGGGCAGTGGACGTGAAGAGACGAAAAGGTCCACAATTGAAGGTGTCGCTATTGCTGCTGGCTGCTGGCTAAGGTACTGTACTGCCCCGAAAAAGGTGACAAGTGCAGACCGGGAGGGAATGGAACTGGAGTACGAAGTACCTAACCGTACCGTCCAGTCGATAGTCCGCCCGCAATTCCGCAACGCGTGGTGGTTTCTTGCCAGGCTTGCTGCTGGGTATCCCGCACGGCAACTTGAAAGGTACCTTGATACTCTCAAAGAGGTGATGTCTGGTACAAGTCACTGCCTACCTTGCCTACTGTCACTTCAATTCGCTGTCGTGCTTGGTACATGTGGGCAATGTCGAATGGGCATGGGCGGTGATGCAGCAGGGCAGGGAGGGGAAACGAGAGATCCTGGGAGGAGCCAAAAAGGTACATAAAGACAGAGTACGGATCAGGGCACAATGAGGCGAAGTGGGATGTACTGCCGAGGTACAGCGTGGGAGAGAAGGAGGCTTGGAGGGGGTACCTGCTGAGGCGGGAGCTGGACGACAGATGCGAGGAAGGAAGGACGCTACCCACTTGCAAGGTCTCGGCTGTTCATTCGCTAATCAGAGCAATCGGCCAGGGCGACGGTCAAGGTTCGCGGGTACCAAGTGTCGGTAGAGGCGTTTCAGAACCATTGCAGTGGGGACCTTAGCAGAGCTACGTTAAGACTGGACGACCTGACACTCCCGTCCTTTCTAACTGAGTACCTTGCACGGTAACATCATCTCCATTCCCGTGCTTCATCACGACAGCGAGACTGTAAGTTACAGGAGGGCACGATACAGGTGACGGGAGCGCAGCAGACGGGATGAAGCCTCCAAAGACTCGTCACAGTTGCAATGGGGGTGGGCGCGGTAGGTGGGCGGGATGATGGATCCAGGTTACCACTGCGTAGGGACCCATATAGGTAATCCATTCCGTGGAGACTGAATTCAGACAAAAATGTCCCGTGGGCCGTGGATACTAATCAGTAGATAATACTGGTCAGATACTGGTGCGAACTGGCACTAATTGGATATTGAAGTGGACAGCCCAAAGGGTAAACCTGCTGCATTTGATCGCTAGATACAGGCACATACACAGCAGGTACTAATCATGGCCGCATCATCCATGGTCGTGGATACACAGATCCATACAATGGCCAACAAATTCGGCATACGGGACAAGTATCTCCTCGTCTTCAAGCCAGCCCTACCTGGTTTCGAGCCTTGGGATTTAACGAGTTTGGGGTCCGCGAGGTTTGAACAGGCTCAAGCCGAGTGGGCGAGGGGGAGGGCAAGATATGAAGGCGGGCAGCAATAGCAAGGCACACGCGGAAATGGGACATATGGGAGCGGCTATTGAATGGCAATTCCTTGTTTGGTGCTAATTATTAGGTGTTGAGAACCTGGACGGCGACTGTCCATTTTCCTCATCCTCTTGTGTCCGTGTATACGTGTATTTCATCATCCGTAGGTGTATTCGTGAATTGTGGACGTGATCTGAGGGGGTCAAGAGGCGTGTCGTTGTGGCTGACTGATGCTGAATGCGCCTTCCTGCACCACACTTACTCGAGTGAGGTCGAGCGAGGACCTTTCGCTCCTTCTTCTGCCCGTGGCCGTAGCTCCTTCCGGGTGCAAGAAGTCAAAGCACAGCCATCCAAGTATTTGGATCATTCCATGATGAGTTCCTTCCTGTCTCTGGGTCCCCGTGCCTGCCTCATCCCACCCAATACCCGGCACCTCCTGCATCTTGACCCTGGTGCCCCGCCCCTGCCCTTCTTCCATCCTCGAAAGAGGTCGGCCTTGCCCCGCTCTTTCCTTCCTTTCTGCTTCCATGATCATCTCCTCCAAAAGTCCGATCATCTGATTCGCCGCAGTCTCCACTCACAAGACCCGCCTCTCCAAACAGTCAAACATCATCGAGACTGGGCTTTCCTGTCGAGACGCGGCAAGAGCTAAGTACTTCCGTACTGTCCTTCGTAGGTAAGCACTTCGTTCTGGGAGGGAAGCTACGATGTAGAAAGCGTGGGAGAGTCTTGCAGTTCAAGACTCCAAGTGCAAGAGCGAGTGAGAGACATGCAGCCGATCCTTCCCAAGCGTGTATGCCAGTGCCAGGCCCCCCCTTCCTTCCTTCCCTTCAACGAGGTGAGGTGACTGCCAATGACATGTCGTCCCCGACTCACCCTTTTCTCACATTCCCATCTCAACTTCCTCATCGGACTCGACTGCCACCACCACCGCACGCCGGTCTGACGGAACACCCATCCGGTAGCATTTCTACCTCGCCATCCCGTCCCTTGCTTCCCCCAGGCCGCCCAGTCCAGGTCACATGCGACCATCAACACCTCTTCTTTGGTACGCAGCCACGGCAGCACAGAGACAAAATGACGGATACACATCAAATGCACGGCATGAACTAGAGCAACGACCATCAATCACATCGCCATTAATCACCTTCAGGGGGAGACAGACGCCGTACCCATGCCTACCTACCTTGCCTTACTAATACTCCGTACAGGAATACGATGAGCACATCCATGGTCCATGAGAGAAGAGAGCGCCCGCACATCCACCAGGAAATAATGCCCCAAATTGAATGACGGATGCATGACTAACTGGTCAACTACCAGCCTCCCATCAATCATGATCCATGATCTTCATCTATCCGTACTCCGATCTTCCAGAACCACACAGCCGACAGAGTACCTACACTACGGAGTACAGAGTGCAGACTACGGAGACAGAGGACGAAATACCCTTCGTCACACCGTCTCTTCGTCCGTGGCCGCCGCCCAACGCCGCTGCATGCAGTCGCGGCTCTGTCCCTCCTACCCCGCCCTAATCCTCATTTTGAAGGATTCCCGACGCTCGACGAGCCTTTTCTGGACTGAACCCTTGATTCGGCTGCACTAGCACACGCTGCCCTTGCCATTTCTGACCTGGCATCCAGGCTTGTCGATTTCTAAATTCTCTGTCAAGCATTGAGCGTTCTTCGACGACCTGACTTGGTGTACATACACTCCCTCGCCCAGTGCTAGGTATTCCAACGCTACCAAGTACCTCTGTCCACGGCTTCCGCTCCTGGCCTCATCGTGTCATTGAATCAACAATGCTACCTTCAACAGGCACACTTCAGGGGCCTTCCTCAAGCGCTACTTACCTCGCAGTATTTCTCACGAGATCGACATCCCGAAACAGAAGGTTCGCAGGGAAGATAACCTGAGAGGAAAAGAATGACAAAAAAATTTCAAGAAAAAAGGTCAACACCCAACGTTCAAAACAATATCGCCTTGTGGGACGGAAACAACGGCGTGCCCTGCATGAGATGACATTTTTCATGGACCCCTCCAGCAAGTGGGGGAAATCCAAGCACCCACGGCACCATGGCGGCACCAGCACCAGCACCAGGATCGGCACGGGACTTTCGCAGTCTCTCGCTCCCATTTGCGAGGGGAATTCGCACCATGGCTTGCGCCATTATGCACATTTATTGGCGCCGCTCAAGTGGTTTTTTTTTTGTTTTGTTTTTTGTCTCAGTCCGGACCTGCAGCAATATGTACCTACAACCGTCTTGACCGTCATTCTACAGGACCTGTCAGTCAGGTCGCAGGCGTGGCATCTCGGTCTCGACACGCCCATTGCAATGACTAGAGGGCGTTGGCGGCTTCTTCTGAGTCAACCACCGCCCTCCACTGCCTTTCTCAAGTGACGATCTCCACGACTCGAAGTGCTTTCTCTCTCTCTCTCTCTCTCTCTCTACACGAGTCTACCAACCTCAACGGATGGGTCTACGGATACGGTGCACTGGACCGGCAGCCAAACAGGGCTGCTCTGCTTGAGCTTTCATAATCATCACCTTATCGTGTCGCAAGATCCACGTCTCCGTCTTTTCGTCCCAAGTTTCCAGTGTCGCTATCCGCTATGCCCGATTCGGCGATGCGCACCTTGGGTGCTTGGCAGACCGCGGCAAGCCAAAACGCAATTCACGACTGCAACGCATGGAGCTCGCTGTCAGCATCGTCTTGGCTCTCATCTTGTTTCTCCTGTTAGGCTGTGCGGCTGGCCTCGTCGCCTGGATCGATTGAACACCTACAAGGGTTGTACGGCGCGGCCGAAGAACGACCAGCTGAGCTTTCAAAAACAATAATTTCTGTAAATGCCGTGCAATGCGCCTGCGCCCGGCAGCTCATTCATCTGGTGATGGAAACAGCGTGGGGCCAGCAGCATTCTCGTGCCGTCAAAAACGCCTCTCGCTTCGCCTCTACCGTCCATAGTCACCTATCACGGCTTCCAATACGTCGAGTACACACGAATAGTCCACCTGGAAGACCCGAAGCATACTTTTACCTTTCCATACTCATGAAAAGACGCTCGAGGTCAAGGTTGAGCCTGGTTGGCGCTGGCGAATAAGTCGACGACGTCTACGGTCTTGGATGTGAGACGGGTCCAAGCAGAACCTTATCACTACGACGGCCGCTCTCTCGGTCTGCCGGCCCCCAGGCACGTACGCCAGGCTTGTCACCCCTTGGCCCCTGGCGGCCTTGAGCTTCTCCTCTCGTTCGCGGATCGTCGGATTCGCGGTTCGCCTTCTATTTTTGTTCCAGAATATTGCATCTGCCGGTTCCAAATTGCATCGTTGACACGTTGTGTCGTCAATCCTCGTCGAGATCGGGGGCCCCGACGACGGCCTGTCCCCCATCCAAGAAATAAAGCTGCAGAGAACCCTGGAAGCTTTCTCAGCCCAATATCCATTGACAAGCAGCTGCCAGTGGCTGCTCTGGCCCCAGGGGAAGGGAAGAGAAGGGGACCGGGACGGGCTTTATCTGGCAAGGCAAGGCAAGGCAAAAAGAGGGCAGTCAGGGTTCAGGGGTGGCTTGTACTCTGTACGAAGTACTTCCTACTGTGTACGGACTACGGAGTATGTCCAGGCTGTGGCCCGCCTCCCACAGCTTTCGTCAGGTTCAGGGAAACGGAGGTCAGGCGGGGTAACCGTCAACCCTTCAGTCGGCGTCGGTCGCACAAGAGAGGGGAACAGACCGTGTCGACTGTGCCGCCGATCTCTAGCACAGAGAGACTCGGAGTCTCAGAGTCTCAGGATCCCACAGATTATTACGCCGCCGTTGGATGCGCCTGGTGGCAGTACCAAAGCTACAAGCTACAACCAACCGTCGTCTCTCCCCGCGCAATACGAACCTCCCAAGCTGATCAGTCCAGTCTGAGGTCAGCATTTCCTCTGTCCTGGCCTTGTCCTGCCTCGTCTGCACTCTACGAAGCACCCTGGCCTTGCCTCGTCCTCCAGCGCGACGCAAGTACGCAAACACCAAGCATCATCGACAGGCGCCTAACAGTACACGGATACTGCGGTAGTGCAACAGCAAGGGGGAAGCCGTGAACGACTCGCGCACCGTCTCGTCTCGGACAGTTGCCCCGGACCTTGTTCTCTCTACGAATATCCGTACAGATTCTCTACGGATACTTGTGGCTTCGCTGCGCTCTCGGTTCTGTTGCACTTCTGAACCGCAGATCAGCATCCCTCGTGTTTTGTTCTTCCGACAGCCGCACACCTCTACGCAGTAACCGCCTTTTGATCGTACACATCATCGTTGCGACTCTTTTGAACCCTCGCATCCAGCTCAAGTTTCGACATTCAACTTCCCGACAGCCGACGCGCCACCTGCTACACGCGATACCGCGCTTAGGACGATCTGTTCTCTTGCGTGCACCAGTCACTGCAGCGTTAGGTATCCGAATCCCGGGCATCCTTCAGAGCCCCGTCAACGACGATCCGGCTTTACAGTAAACTCGTCTTAACCTCAATCTTAGCTTCGCTTCACTTCAATTTTGGCAGACGCTCACCACCGAAGCAAGAACCATTTGTGTTTGAATCATCCCATCTGACGGATCGCACTTCTTTTTAGAGATAACTGCAGGTCTCCCAAACCATAACACCTGTTTCATCAACCCAATCGCCTAGCTCCATCTATCTGTCGTAAACCCCTCGCGATTCGTCATCGATCTCGAAGCTTCAAGATAGCGCGGCCTCGAGGCACGGCACCTCGTTTTCCGTCGCATCCTCAATCGCACCCAATGCCGCGATCAAGTTTCTCAGATAACCCCCTGCTGCGGGTATCGCGGCCTGTATCGGCCTGCTCGCGATGTGAGTTGTCATGATTGCGGCTGACTGCTTGTATTTATGCGAGGCTAATCGTGCCCCACAGGTCGAGCTGCGAAAGTCAAGGTAGCTATCCTCGCCCCCGCTGCTCAGCCTGATGGATCTGACGGGCTCTTGCTGATGCATACTTGAAATTTCTAGTGTGATGGAAAGCTTCCAGCCTGTACTGCTTGTGAGAAGGCAGGCCGCGAAAATGAGTGTTCTTCGGCCAATGACCAGTTCGCTCGAGGCAAGGAGAGAAGGTTGGTCAGCTGGTCATGAGATCTCGGCATGCATGGTGTTAACAGAGACTCAGTTACGTAGCGGCCCTGGAGCTCAGGGTTGAAAAGCTGGAGAAGCGGTTGGCGTTTGCCAGGTCGCGCAAGGCATCGGTTAATCTGCACGATGTCGATGAAGCGACGACGGCGGGCCCTGCTGACCGTAAGGACTCTCTGGCCAACATCCGAGCAGCGATTCACCGCAAAGCCGCCCGTAAGAGGGAGGATTCGGATGTTAACGCACTAGTTTCTGATTTTGGCTTCTTGTACGTTCATTCTTGGGCCCCTCACTCCGAATATTCGTGCTCACGTTTGCCAGATCCGTCAACGCAACAACCCGCGATTTCGAACCATCCGTGAGCGGCATGACATTCGCTCGCCTGGTGCTGGCTGCCGCTACTAACGACGAGGTGCCGGATCCGACGGAGGATAGCTTCCCAACCAGGGCAGAGGCCTTCGCCACTGTCCAGTACTACATGGCCAATATCTACTCACTATTTCCATCCTTCTCGGAGACTCACTTGCTCACCGTTTTGGACGATGTCTACCAGCAAGATGAAAGAGTCAAGGACAGACTTAAGGATGCTGATTTCTGGTTGCTGTACATGGTTCTTGCTATCGGATACGCGGCCCAGAGCAGAGAGCAAAATGATGACTACTCTCGCCGTGGTCTCGATTTTGTCGCTCGTGCCTTGCCTTTTGCTGATAAGGCGCTGATGCCTGGATATCCAAGTCAGATCCAGTCGCTCATCCTCTTCACGCAATACTCAATGCTCGACCCTGGTCATTTCGATAGTTGGTATCTGATAGGATTCGCGAGTCGTGCTGTGGTTGACTTGGGATTCCATCAAGACCCGCCGCAGCTCCAGGTTCCTGACAAGGCTGCTCTCGACCTTCGGAGGAGAATGTTTTACTGTGTATATGCACTTGACCGGTAAGCTCGTCAAACCTAGAATTACACATGATCCAACTCGCTAACACCAAGGATAGGATGGTCAGCATGGTCCGCGCCAGATCCTTCTCGTTCACAGATGATTCCATTAATGTCGAGTATCCCAGCAACTCTGGCTTGACTTCTGGGCCGATTACCGGCCCTCAATCAGCAGACTCGGCATTAGTCTTGTTCCAGCTTCGTCGACTCCAATCTGAATGGTATCAAACACTGTTCCAGGGAGATGCCGCGCCACTTTCAGACGCCGCCTCCTTTATTTGGCAGATGTGCCTGGAAATGAGAGAGTGGCATGAGTCTCTGCCTGATAATCTCCCGTCGGGCATCCGCGAGTTCTTCGAGCTCGAGCTGAGATACAGCTACATTCACTGCCTTGCGCCTAGCGATCGACAGCCACACCTGACCGACTACACCCGCAAATTAATTTTTGAACATGCCATTGCATACATGAACACTATTCATAGTGTCGTCCATGGCTCCGTCAATACAGCGTTCTACTCCTCCCTAGATGCCCTCAAGGTCTTTTTTGTGGCAACACAGTTCTTCACCGTCTTCAACGAGAAGCGTGAGCTGCTCATATCGGAGCAAAGAATCATTCCGCCCATCACTCGTCCAGGCACCGCTCCCCCGCCACCTCTACCTCATCGTCCGGCTGGTGGAGAGGATAGTTTGGATAGAAGTATGCGATGTTTGCAGCAGGTTGTGGAAACACTTGGAAGATACTCTCAACGATGGGACATTGCGTCATCGCTGAAGACAACATTTGAAGGGTTGTCATCAGAGTTGTTCTCCTGGCTTCAAGTGCGTCGGCAGATGAGAGAGCAAGGACAGCTACCTCAACATCATCAGCAACAGCTACAGCAGCAGCATCAGCAGTCACCTCATCAACCACAGCAGCAACATCATCAGCAACAGCAGCAGCCACTTTATCACCCGCACCAACAGTCTTCACCCATACCCCATGGACCCTCGCCGCCGCTTGGTCAACACCCCCAACACTCGCAGCACCCTCAGCATGCCCAACATCCATCCTACCCGCCTCCCCACCATCAGGCTCTCATGGGGTCACAGCAGGTGCCGATGCAAGGCATGATGCAGCAGCAGCTCCACGGGCAACCAATGATGCAATATAGATGGGTCGGCGACGGAGGTGGGCAGATGATGCCTGGTCCACCGGGGCAAGGCCCACCGATGTGAGCCACATCAACAAAGTCATGGCGCAATGGTCGTTTCCTGGAACTGAGACGAATACCTGGGCTGGAGCAGCATATTGGCATTCTTAGATTATAGAGATGATACT